ATTTGTTACTAAAGAATTCATCACATGTATAAAAAGAGTTTTGCAATAAAAATGTTGTCAACTGAATTTTAAAATTTTTCAAGTCATTAGACATAGATTTGATTTTTGGTGGCAAATGATTAAAGATCTTTACTCCCATGTAACATATTCCTTTTTGGAATTGTGTCAGACTAGTTTGCGGATAATGCAGATCACAGATAGATCTGGTACTACAATTATGCATTTGTGAACTTGAACATTTCGATCTGTTTGCCTGATGCCACTCCCTGAAAGACTTCATTTCATATCATCTTAGTTACTAAGGATATATAACATTCTTTATCAACAGCAGCCCTACAACACATTTAAAAGGAAATCAAGTAAGTTTTGTTTGTTATAGTTTTGAACTGGAAGAAATTTCTTTCTGCTTTAGCTTTCAGAATTACTTTCATACAGATATCATGCATCATGTATCTTCCTGTCTCCTAAAAATCAGCAGTTTTACGTTTTGTTTTATATGGGTGTAGATTTGCAGCGAGTTTAATCTTGATGTATGTTACAGTTCAAGAAAGCTGAATGGGCCAAGACAGTGATCAGCTACACGACAGACAATGCAATGCGACTGCCAATCGTGGATGTTGCAGTACGCGATGTTGGCACTGATGCTCAGAGTTTCTGGCTTGAAATTGGGCCTGCATGCTATACATGATGCTCTTCAATGAAAGGATTGGCTACACTGCATCATGTAGCAAGACAAGTGTGAAATTACTATCTCTCAAGAAAACATATGCCTTGTCAAATTCTTCAGCAGATTGAATTGTGTCATCTGTGAGATTGTGTCTTTTATATACTGGAAAGGTAGCTTTCCAAAGCTAAAGATCCTTTGAATGGTGTTTCTGGATAAAAGTTCAGGTTATAGTATAGTTCCATAAATCATTCAGAATTAATTATTATTTTCAAGAAAGATTAAATACCTCTAAGTACAGATGATTATGGGAAAAGTTTTCTAAACTGAACGATGATAAGGAGACAACACTTCTTATAGAGGACAGACTGAGCAAATGAGCACACAGGTGTTTGTGCCTCTTGAGCTTTCAATGAAAAAATAGTCAGTCATACACTAAAATTAATTTCCTCCACACCAGTCCTCCATTATGCACCAGTGTGATTTATGTAATGCCAATGACCTGCAAAGTTGTGTCAGCCACAACATAATCTCAGGACATCATATATATCCCACACATTTAATGACTGTCCAAATTATTCATAGATCAAATCAGAAAGACTGAAGTTGCAGAAAAGCTTACAAAAGCTTCTTCTCCTTTTATATTGTAATTTGCAGGTAGAATCTTCAAGTTCATGGAAGTCCTTCACCTCCAACAATTAATCTCTGTTATCTGATTCACTGAAAATATTTATTATTATTATTATTATTATATGTATTATTACAATTTAACGTGTCTAACTCAAGAGGTTTCTCTACAACTGCAACAGGAAAACTTATGCCGCCCTGCTAGAAAATGCTGTGTAACATCATTTACTTGCCATCCGAGTGTCCCCCTCAAAATCTGAGAGACATATTATTCATACTCATTTTAACTAACTAACCAGCAGCAACTTTAAACACACCATTGAAGCCTGTGTGCCTTTGAGGAATAAGACAGAAAAGCAGTTTGTTTCGAATTAACAAATGTCTGGGTGTTTAGTAACCACAAATTGATGTTCCATTGTTCAAAGATACCAACTTCTATTGTATTTGTTGTGGTTAGTGTGCTTATTTAACAAGTTTAAATGGTGATTGATTACAAATTGTAATGGGTTGATAATCATGTATATGAGATTTCAGATTCTCACAGTGATGCCTATGAAGATTGCCGTCTTCAGGGATCTGAACCATTTAATTTGGTAGACAGGTACCAGCTTTCAGAAGAACCAGCACTTGCCCTGAAGACTGAAGTAGAAGTTTCTTGTGAAATGTTAATACATATATACCAAATGACATGGCATCACATCTCACAAGACACTATCTCCACTCTGTAAATATTCTTTAATATATTATAAATATCAGGGGACAAGTTTCTGTGGTGGGGTATTTAATTCCATTTCCCACCTTCAAGGTAGCAAAACAACAGACTGCTTCCAAAAATTAAACAATACAGTTCTATCACTGTCAGAGTGATTTTGCATGATAGCACTAGCCAGAGCGGGAAAGGTGAACTGATCAGTGAGAGTAAATGGAATAAGGTTTGACAGTGAAACCCATATACAGGAGTGGGTCTTGTGATTTGTCTGTGTATTCATCACTAATGACATCTGTTGGCAATGCTGATAGATGACTGTTTATTATCTGGTGGGAGGTCACAGTATATCACAAATATAGGAAATACAGCAGTAGTACAGCTCCTCACAGAAGTTAACAAAATGAGAGTCTCACAAATGTGTTATTAATCACCAGAATAGAAAGGTGCAGAAGCACTTTTCAAGGTCTTATGAACAAAGACAGAATTGTTCTTTGGTCATGCTATCATGCTCAGCCAAATTGCTCATTGGTACTCTCTCATGCTTAGCCAAACTTTCCAGTTGTGCTACTCTCATGATTAACCAAAATGCCCAGTGGTGCTGACGCCATGCTCAGTGAAATAGCCCAATGGCGTTGCTGTCATCTTTGGCAAAATTACTTCAAAGAAAATGAGTATGAATATTGAAGAAAACTGCCAAGTTCCATTTCAGGGGTTGTGTAATTTACACAACACATATTTATTGTGACATAGTTTATATTTGTGTGGAAAGTATATAAAGCATGATTACTATTATTAAGATCACATTATGTCAGTGTAACAGCTGCAAACTGAATTTACCTAACTGAACACACCACTGCCATCTGTATGAAACACTTTGAAACCATGATAAATGATCTGTATGAGTGTATTTATATATACTTGTAATTTTATGAACAATTTTACACAACTTTTTGTAATTTTTTACCTCTGAAATAAGTTGGAAAGTGAGTTTATAATATACTGTGAAATAATAAAACATATATTGAAATAATTACTTCATATTGTTTTCTCAGCTAGTTTCTACTCACAATTATCCACTTCTTCTTTTCTTGCAGTAGGATGACACTTCCACTTAGGCCCAAGTGGCCCATTCTTCTGGCCCTAGATGATGTATCTGAGAATGACGCATTGATGAAATGATAACTGGTGGCAGTAAACTGAAGTGCTTGCAGCATAACTTACCCCATTGCCATTTTGTCCACAAAACCTGCATGGACTAATCACCTGAGCTATGCAATGGTCTCGGTTATTCACTTAATATGGAGCATTGAATATTATTGCTGTCATATTAAACTTATCTACATATGATCTGATGGTACAAATGATGGCAGTTATATTCCTATAACAGTTCTGATTATTGATATCATCCACATAATACCCTGCATTTTATGAAGTATAAAGACTCGTCACCATTTTCACAACAGTCCACCACAGAAAGCTATCCTAATTCAAATTAATCCAGCCTATAACTTCATGAACCATTTTTCAAGATCCTCTTTAATATTATAATTCCATCTATACATATATCATCACATGAGGCTATGTGAATAAATCTTCTTATGCATGCTACATGTTCATCTCTCTCATATATCTTGATTTGGTCATCCTACTAGTGTTAAACTTGTAAGAACATAAGTATATCTTGTTTACACGTATAGTTTCTTATTTCTATTTGGGGCAGAAACATCAGTCTGTTAAATGTCTGAATTCATGAGCTGTATATCATTGAAATCTGCATTTAGAAGTGTAAAGATATCAGTAAGTAACAAAACAATGCTTCAGAACCGGCTAACAGAAACCGACAGAAAACTGTAGGATTAGAAATACGTAACCAATGTTCTACCAGCGCAACACCTTGCGTCTACTGTGCTGGAGATTTCACTTTTCTGTTATTCAGTGCAGCAGGAGAGTGGGTGTTGAATGGACATCCCTTGCAGCAGGGACAAAGCTCGCAATTTTTGGAATGTCTGCTGTTGGTTTCACTTTAATCCCTGAGAAAAATCCCCCAGTACCTACAAGATAGGAGGCTCGGTGGGTCTCTGATCTGGTTTGGATGCTGTGGAAGAGAGATGAATCTCTTACCCTTGCCGAGAATCGAATCCCAATTCCTCGGTTTCCAGCCGGTAGACTAGTTGTTGCACCACCTCCTTCTTCAGGTAACATGGAAGTATTCCCGTATGTATACATACACTTACTCGCGTAATATTTTACGCTGTGCGTGTAAGGAATCTAGTGGTAAGATTTCGTAAGATATCCGAATGTTATGCTAGCACAGGCCATTGTCTCGGTAACCAAGATGTCAGTGCACTCTCTGGACCGGTGTCTGATTATTTCTGAGGTTGCACCATAATTAGATAGATTCTTCAGATTCTTATCATCATGTTATCTCAGAAAGTCATTGTCCTCATTTTCATGGATTAGGCCGTGCTTTATATGTTCCGTCCTCTTGAAGAGTACGTTTGACCCTCAATCTCAACTGTGGGCGCCCTATGCGTAGGACGTGGACCTCACAGAAAACGACACATCAAACTATTCTATGCTATGATATGCGACTTGGAAGATCTCATTACCAAGCCGTTTCGTAACAACGACCCTCTCAACGGCGCTCCTCTGACTGCCATATTCCGGCTTTCAGACCTCATGTCACACATGGTATTGAAACAGCCGTATGATCTGGCTCCATTATTCCTGCTTTCAGGTAAATTAGAGGGGATACACAGACACATGGACACAGACAGCAAGATGATGTTATAAACTTACGCTTATTTTTTTAATAAGGAAAATACGCTAAAAAATAGGACGAAAAATCTTGTCAGTATAATGTGAACGACTAACCTGAAGACGGAACTAGAAAGACTAACCTGAACACCATATATACAAACAATATATATCTCACAGAGGTCGATGTGCACAATATTACTGGCCTAATGATACACTGTTACACTAATTCCATGGAGCTGAGCCATTTTTAAGAAGCCGTCAGTTGCGCAGCTACTTAAGAAGTCCCAAATATATTATGGAAGCCAAGGTTCATGACCGTGCTCACAAGAGCCCTCCACTTGTCCCTGTCCTGAGCCACACACTGTTACACACCTTTAGACAATCAATGTCATGACGTTATCTTTATATGACGCCAATAATGACGTATATACGACAAACTGTTAATACAATTTGACGAGCATACCGTAAATGGGCGTAAGCTTAAGAAATGACAGAAATAACACCATTGGCAATTTTATGTAGTGCATTACACAGCATGATTTTTATCTTGTTTCATTCAAACCTGATAACGCAGATCAGGAATACATGACAGGACAAAGCAGCAATTCCCCCCC